GAATTATCAAACCATAAGAGCATTTTCTTTTATAAAAGCATCCTGATAAAACAAAATAAAAACTAAGGAAAACATGAAATTCAAATCCGATATTTTGGTTTAGTACTTTCCCTGAGTCTCTTGTTTTTAAAAAATCAAATGTAAGTAAGGCCATTTTAAATTGACCCATAGGTCTTACCTCCACCATGCCATGGGGAATACATTTAAGACAAGAGGCTACACACGCTGAAATGGTCCCAGGGCTTTGAAATGCCAATCTGTCAGTGCTGCTGCCATAGGGTCATCTGAGCCACTGCCACACATGATCTTAAAGAACTACCAACATTTTACCTTAAAGATCTGCCAAATTACAACCATGAGACTACATACCAAATACACATGAATGAGTGCAGTTATTAATAAATAGTAAAATTCTAAATGGATTTTCATATTATATACATCAAGTTGTGGTAGCATGACATATAAACACTTTTAAGCTTAAAAAGTCTTACAGAAATATTGGGCACTGGCCTGTGAGCTGGCAGGAGTGCTGCCATCCTAAGCTAAGTGGAACCATTTTAGAGTTAACCCAAATACACATGAATGAGTGCAGTTATTAATAAATAGTAAAATTCTAAATGGATTTTCATATTATATACATCAAGTTGTGGTAGCATGACATATAAACACTTTTAAGCTTAAAAAGTCTTACAGAAATATTGGGCACTGGCCTGTGAGCTGGCAGGAGTGCTGCCATCCTAAGCTAAGTGGAACCATTTTAGAGTTAACTTTCTGTTTTAGTGACTAAGTTTTTGTGTCCTAAGACTGTAGTTCCTTATCTTTGTTACCCAGCCTTTATAATTGCCAAGGTCACTATTACCCATGATAGTTTATGTTTATGCCTATTTCTTCTTATCTTGCTAGACATTTTGTGCTGCTCTGAAGTTTCTCAAACTTAACAACCTTCGAGTTTTTTGAGTCATCTGGTGTTTTATGACGTCCTGACTCTGTAGAAGTTTCCTAATGCTTGTTTTAGGTCAGATAAGATTGTTATGGTATTATCATGTCCCCTCCTCTTAGGTTTGTGGTTTTTTGCTTTAAAAGTCTGATGCTTGCCTGCAATAAACGTCGCCTTGATCAGACTCCTGTCTTGGCATCCTTCTTTCTCTCCCTGCCCCATCTCCGCCTGATGCTCTTTCAGCTTTGAGCACCTAAGACAGTGCTCTGCGTCGCCGGCTCGCGACAAGTGGTGCCCAAACAGGGACCTGACTGATGCATCGATCTTGGTGGTAATCGGAACTGCCTGCTGCAAAAAGGGTCTGGCCAAACTGACAAAAGAGGACACCACTGCCTGAAATGCCTGGCGGGGAAAATCCTCAGAGAAGCAGGTATCAATGGGGCACATAGGTTCAAAGACGAAGTTCAGTACAGTAATTCAGAAATTACTCCGGGAGAGAGGAATTAAGGCAAAGAAAAAAATATTGTTTCAATTTCTTGATTGTGTGGATGAAGTTTGTCCTTGGTTTAGTGATATAGATGAAATAAATGAAGATGTTTGGGCTAGAGTAGGAAGGGAATTAAATTTAAAATTAAAGAGTTGTGGTTCTGAAAATTTGCCAGCTAGTACTTTTTCTTTCTGGTCTCTGATAAATGAATGTTTATTAAAAAGGGATGTACAGGATTTAGAGAAACACCTTAAAGAAGCTAAGGAGACCTTAGAGGAAATGAAGGAAATTAAGTCACAGAATTCAGAACATAAGGAGAAAGAGTCAAAATTATATCCTGATCTAACTAAAATTCAAGAAAGCTCCTCAGAGTCTGAGGGAGAAAATGAAGATGATGATGATCTTGTAGGAACTGCTTTCACTTCCCGCCCTCCCCCCACTGCCCCTATGCTAGAGGTTAAAAAGGAGTTTAAGGATCCTAATAAAGATATGACCTTAGAAGTGGAACAATTAAAGAAAAGAGTTCAATTGGCTAAACAAAAACAGTCACTTTTCCGATAGAGGAAACAAAAATTGATACGAGTTCCATTATGTAAAGGAAAAGCACTTAATAAGCTTACCCCTCTCCAAGAGGCGTTGAGGGAAGCCAAAAAGGAAGGAGAAAATTTAGGCAGTCTTAGTTCTTATTCCTATCCCGTTATTGAAGAGTTAGATGACCAAGGACAAAGGGTAAGAAGACATAAACCTATAGATTTTAAAATGATCAAAGAATTAAAAACAGCTGCAGCTCAATATGGAACAAATGCTCCATTCACTCTGGCTATTGTTGAGTCTTTGCAGTTATCTTATATGACTCCTAATGATTGGAAAATGGTCTGTAAAGCAGGCTTGAGTGGGGGTAATTTTCTCTTATGGAAGTCCAATTTTTTTGATAATTGTAAAGAGACTGCCCGCCAGAATGTTCTTGCCAATATGGGTCATGTTAACTTTGAAATGTTGTGTGGTGAAGATGCTTATGAAGGAACCTATCAACAGATTAATTACAACCCTACTGTCTATGCACAAATTGCCCTAACTGCTCAGCTGTAACTTGTCTTTTGGCCTCATGTTGGGAAGGAAATAGAACTTTTAATAGATATGCAGGACTAGGACGGATTCCTCTAGCCCAGTGGACTTCTGTGGAACTCGAACAACATTATCATACCACAACCTTGATGATGAGATCTAAGCGGGATTTTGGAATCTCGGCTATCATTGCTGCGATCACCGTGGCTGCAGTCGCTGCTGCTTCCGCAGCTGTTGCCGCTGTTGCACTGTCCCAGACTGCCACACAAGCAGAAAGCATCAACCAACTGATAAATATATCCACCTCAACCTGGTAGGATCAAGAAGAAGTAAACAGCCATCTTTATGAAGGACTTCTTTTGATTCAAGGGCAAACTTGATTTAATGTCTGAAGAGATAAATGATCTATATAGATTGGTTAAAAGTGCTTGTGATCCTAGATTTGATTTTTGTATTACACCTATCAAGGTTAGCAATGCCACTGTAGAAAGGGAATTGCTCCGAAAAAATTATGGACCTTGGACTGCTAAATATTTTAATTTTACCCAGCAATTGTCTAAGAAAATTTATAAGTTATCCTCTATACATGTTAATCCTCTTGAGATGGATACCACTTTTATTAATAGGATTTGGGAGAATTTAAAGAAGTTGTTTGATCCTTCCTGGATTGTGATATATGTTTGTTTAGGAGGTATTGTTTTGGTTTTATTGTTAGGAATAAGATATTGGTTTCGATATAAACAAAGACAGGCCTACATACAGCGCAAGACCCTACATGCGCTCTTGGCCCTTAAAGAAGGTTCCTCCAAAAACTTGGGTATTTACCTCACTCAGATAAAAAGAGAGCTTCAATGAGGGTCTGGAAAGTCAAAGCGGGTAAGAGGAAAAGGTTTGACTGATCAACCTAAGACAGCGGCTTCTGTTAAATCTTCATCATGTTATAGGCCTATAAAACAGATGACTCCAACGACGGCTAAGACAGCCAAATGCTTTTCCCAACCTAAGACAGGCTCAGACATACCCTTGAAAAACATCAAAATTTATAAAACAAAGGAGGAATTATTGGGCGCTGGCCTGTGAGCTGGCAGGAGTGCTGCCATCCTAAGCTAAGTGGAACCATTTTAGAGTTAACTTTCTGTTTTAGTGACTAAGTTTCTGTTTCCTAAGACTGTAGTTCCTCATTTTTGTTACCCAGCCTTTATAAGTGCCAAGGTTACTATTACCCATGATAGTTTATGTTTATGCCTATTTCTTCTTATCTTGCTAAGACATTTTGTGCTGCTCTGAAGTTTCTCAGACTTAACAACCTTTGAGTTTTTTGAGTCATCTGGTGTTTTATGACGTCCTGACTCTGTAGAAGTTTCCTAATGCTTGTTTTAGGTCAGATAAGATTGTTATGGTATTATCATGTCCCCTCCTCTTAGGTTTGTGGTTTTTTGCTTTAAAAGTCTGATGCTTGCCTGCAATAAACGTCGCCTTGATCAGACTCCTGTCTTGGCATCCTTCTTTCTCTCCCTGCCCCATCTCCGCCTGATGCTCTTTCAGGTTTTAGCACCTAAGACAATGCTCACACAGAAACAAGAGTTCATAGGCAAAGCATCCCAATCTACTAAACGTGAAATACAAACAAACAAACAAAAAAACAAACAAACAAAAAACAGAAACCACAGAAAAATCCATTAGCTTCTAGTAAAACAAAGCAGAAAAAGGTAATTTTAAGTTGATGCTTGGAAAAGGCCATTCTTATTCAGAACAAGTAGGTGTCTCCTTAATCCTTGAACAAAATTGGCCCCTACTGTTTTATTTGATCACTTAATCTCAATAAGTATGTGTATATACATATATACATATTCAAGGATTTATGATTCCAATGATCAAGCACTTCAAGGATAATGGGTTTGCAGGAATTTAAAAAAATTGTTTCTACTTCAAATGTATTTTTTGCTGGACTTGTACATATTTTTGAACATGTTTTTTCTAGTCAAATTTAGGAAAAACATAAATGACCAGACTTAAGTTTTATAACCATTCTTGGGGCATCTCAAGAACACATGCATAGCAAAGATCTGCTAAACTCCACATCTCCCTCCATCACAATGAAATTTCAATTACAAATTCATTTCAAAAAAATGAACAATCACGCACCATCTCAAAATTCAGAGGTGTATGACACTTTCATATTCCTATTAATTGTTAATTATTATAAGTACCTCACTGCACAGATGAGTATACTGTGGCACAAAGTTTTTTTCTTTGAAAGAGTTGTCTATCTTTAAAAAAAAAACCTTGGCCTGGGGATTTAGCTCAGTGGCACCATGCCTGCCTTGCAAGCTCAAGGTTGTGAGTTTGATGGCGGTACCTAAAATAAAATCTTAAGAGTTGCTTATCTTAATGTTTGGAAACATGCCCATAATCCCAGTTACTAGGGTGGCTGAGGCAGGAGTATCACAAGTTTAAAGGAGGCCAGCCAGCCTGGGAAGCTCCGAGAGACTGCCTTAAAAATGGGGGAGGGGGGCTGGGGATTTAGTTTAGCACCCAATGGGTTCAATTCTTAGTACCACTAAAAAACGTTGAGGATAGACAGGAAAGCTTGCTGCTGCCGGCTTCACAAGTGCAAGGTCCCAAGTTTGATCCCCAGAACCAAAACAAAAAAACAACAACAATAAAAAAGACAGGAGAGCCAAGGTCAAAACTACAGCCTGGCCAGGGATTTAGCTCAGTGGTTCTGCTGCCTGCCTCACAAATGCAAGGACCCAAATTTGATCCCTGGTACCAAAACAAAACAAACCTACAGTCTGAAAGACAGAGATTAGACACATGTGGGTTGAATCAATTCCAACTTTGCATGAAATGTTATATTAACTCAACCTATCTTTTGTGCATCACACCTCCTAGTTGGCACTAACCTCACAATCTAATCCATTAATAGATGTGGCAAATAGCACTTACACCTGCCTTCTCTGACTCAACGAAAAAGGCTATCCAGTGTAATTTAAAAAAACAAAACAAAACATGTTGTATTATATGTAATGAGCAAAGTTCAATTATAGTATTTGGTACCCTTTTCAGAAAAAAATCTCAAAAATAATAAAGGTAAATGCAAGCATGTGGCATTTCATGTTTTATGTACTGAGTGAACAGATGAGTAACCCTTTCATGACCAACTTTCTATCTTGAAGCAACATTATATGCTCCTACCAGTTACCATTCCAATTCTACAGGGTATTTTCCAGTGAGACAAGCTGTACAATGACCATTATTTTCAAAACATTCCAGACCATTTCCATTTTGCTGAATCATAATATCATGCCTTTTCACTTTTTGTTTTTTTAATATTATCTCTGCTTGTACAGATGAAACCAGTCCTTCTACTGACAGATACACAACACTGCTTGCTCCTGCAGTGGGAAAGAGAAAAAAAATCAAAAGGCCATGAGACTTCCTTAGAAAGGAGGAAATTACAAACAGCATGATTTAAGTCAGAACATAATTTTCTCTTTAATCTTTCACTAAAAGACAAAGATGAACAAACAGACACAGAGATATCAAGAAAACTCAGCATTGATTTTTAAAAATTTTAAATATTTAGCAGATAACAACTGAAACAAATGATGCTTCAAGTCTAGAAGGCTTGAAGAGGAATTTTCTTGATTAAGGAAATAGTTTTTTTTTTCAAGGTCTCACTATGTAGCTCACTCTGGCCTGAACTTGAGATCCTCTTGCATCAGCTTCCCGAGTGCTGGGATTACAGGTATGGATCACCATGCCCGGCTTGAGAAAACCTTTTTTTTTTTTTAGAAAACACTTTTTAAAGACAGGGAAGGCTAGGTCTCACATTTAAACTCAACATCTACTTTACTTTTCCTAAGTCTTTGTCTATAAAGTGGAGACTATAACAGATAACATATATAGCATAGTTCCTGGCAAAGAGTAGGTGCTCACAGTATGATATACATGTGGGGTGCTATTCCCAGTATCTGGACCTGTACAGTTAGATACAATGCCAGGCATAAACAGCCAGTTTGGAGTACCAAAGTACAACAAACAGGACATCCTGTAATATTTAAAGTTCACATAGCCTCTGACTTTGAAAGGTAAAGGTCTTACTCAGTCTAATTTTTTAATTTTTATTTTTAAAATAAATTTTATTTTACTTTATCCCATTCCCCACTCAAGCCCCCCCCATGTACAAAAGTTTTGTTTCCATTTTATTCCTTCTATTTTCACTTTTTTACTTGTCCTTTCCTTTCTCCCTCCCTCTTTCCTTGTTACCCTTCCCATTCCCCAACATCCATTATATATTTCAGTCCTTATTTTCACATTCATTTTCTCACACTAGAGAAACAATGCGGTATTTAAACATGTGCCCGATTTGTTTCACTTGAGTATTTACCAGGATAATTTATTGTCTCATTATTAAAGGTAAGCTTCCCTAAGCACTTTACTTTTTAATTTGTATCCCTATCCAAATGATTTTATTAGCATCTATAAAATTGGTTTTGTTTTTCTTGGGACCTGATTTTGCACAGTTTCAACTGACTGTTTGCAGTGCACTCTCCCTAGAAACCCTTTTTCCCTTCTCTGGCTTCATCGTGTCTACATGCCCACCGCACCCACTTTTCAGAACAAGGATCAACACTAGCGCAAAGTGCTTGAAAACTGCTTTTTCTTAAAGGCTGACAAGCTCTGGATTTTATGTTACTAAACAGTGAAGCATAAATTCTATAAAATATGAATACCTACCAAGATATTCTGCAAGATGAGCAAATTCTGGTTTATTGGCAATGAGCTCCTCTTTTGTGGGAATGTTTATTCCCATGAAGCATGGATATCTGACTGGTGGTGAAGCTACTCGAATGTGTACCTTGGAAAGAAACCATTTCACACACTCACAGAAAGAATAATGACCAACATTTCTTACTGATCAATTACAATATAAAATTGTTCTATAGAATGTATTAGCAGAGTAAACTATAGAGAAGTAAACTGTAAGAACTATAAAATTTGTTTCAATAACAGAAGACATTTTTTTCTTCTTCAGAATTCCTACATTTCACTTAAGTGGCTTTACACTTCACAAAGTGCTGCCCTCATTTTCTCTTATAACACCTGAAAGATGCGTCTGCTGACCTCTTGTTTTAGCACATTAGAAAGATGCCATATTATCTAACAGGCTATAATAAAAACATTACTATCATAATAGAACTATTTTTGTCTATTAATATTTTTTATATTGTCAGATCTATTAACATGGCTATAATCAGTATGCGTATTTTTTTAACTATCTCATAAAAGGAAAGATCTGCCCTTGTGTAGCCTTCATGTAGTTTTTACATCATCATCATCATCATCATGATGTTGTATCACACTGATGTATCACTTTACTACACTATTTTTCTACAGGAAGATATTGAACCATTTCCAGGTTCTTTGTCTGTTCTTTCTTACTATTCTGGCAGATGTTGAATTTACTTTAGACTTTTGTTTCTACTACATAATTTTTGGGTCCCAAGGTGATTATCATAGTCATAACCAATTTTTTTTTTAAAGTACAGGGGATTGAACTTGCGACCTTGTACCTAAATCCCTCACCCCATAATCAATTTTAAAAGGGTGGAAAATCATAATCATAATCATCTTTCAAACCTTCTAAATGGACTAATTGTTTTGCGTATCACTTACTCCTATATTCTTTTCTTTTTAGATTTACTCAAATAACTTGTTGTAGATGGCATCTCATTTGCGTAATTTGAACTACTCAAAGTTAGAATAAGCTTTTAAATTAAAAAATATAACAATACAGTCAGACCTTGGTATATTATGGGTTTGGTTATAGGAGAATTGCATGTTTAAGCCCCGTCTGAGCAACTAAATGAGGCCTGGGTTACAAAAGAAAAAAAGAAAACAAGTAGAGGAATGCGGAGGTGGTGCCCCGGGAATGTAGCTCGGTATGAAAGCCTGAGTTCGGTCTTCAGTACAGGAAGGCAGGCAGGGGTGGCAATGGGATCAACCCATCGATGAATATGTATACAGATGTTAAGTGAGAATATGCTGCTGGAAATGAAGTCAACAGACTTGCTCAACACCGGCTTGCTGAAAACTTTCAGTTTTAATTTTTTATTTCAGTACTGGGGATCTAACTCAGGACTTGTGCTTACGAGGTCGGCATGGTGCCACTAAGCTAAATCCCCAGCCCAACCTTTAGTTGTTAACCATAGCACTTGCAAAGCAGAAAAAGCAAACTATAATATAATGAGGTACATCTGTATGTAGATACAACACACATACTAAAACATCATGTTATATACCATCAAAATATATGTTTGTCAGTTAAAAAAAGTAAGTTGAGACAAAAATTTTTCCAGAGATCAAAGTTATAAAATAATTCAATGGGTCAGATTTATTCCACCAAAACTGGTCCTAGGTCTTCAAATAGAGACAGCAAGCAATACTTTATGGTTTGAAAAACATTCTATTTTGTGGGCTTTGTTACTTTACAAATTGGTAAAAATTGTAAGCTTTTATATTCGGCTTTTTTAGGATTAAATTTAGTATGTAGTCTAACAATGGCTATTCCACGTTCTCCAAATTGCTAGTTTTTGCATTAAAAAAAAAAAAACTAGTATGAAAAGTTAATTTATACTGATCTATCCATTCAGATTCAATATACTGAACTGCAATTTCTATGTCAATATCATGTTAATTAATAATTACTGGTACTTTAGAACATTTTACTATTACATACCTCTTTTGCACCAGATTCTTTGAGCAATTTTATTATGGGTGAAATAGTATTGCCTCTCACAATTGAATCATCTATAAGAACAATTCTTTTGCCTTTAAAGTTGTCCGACAATACTCCAAACTTTTTTGCAACACCAAGTTGTCTTAATCTCATGTTTGGCTGAATGAAGGTTCTTCCTACGTATCGGTTTTTACACAGCACTTCCACATATGGAAGTCCACTCTGATAAATAAGAAATAAAGAGAAATGAGTAGAAACATACAAAATACTCTAGGCTCCTATTCCCCCTAAATTCTGCTGCTGCTGTAATATGTAGCTAAAACTTAAAAGTTCTCTCATCATGAACTTTCTATCCACCATCACACTATAATTTTTCTTCCATTAGTTTAAAATGGAAGGGAAAAATAATCTACCGAAAGGAAAATAACCTGTGGAGAAACAAACTCACTTGGCTAGAATTTTCAATACTTCCCTCTTAAGCATTATTATTCCTCTACCTTGGAAAAGAACAGGCACATGAAAACATAACTAAGAGTCAATGTAAAAAAAAAAAAAAAAAAAACTTGGGGGGCCAGGGATTTAGCTTAGTGGTTCCACCACCTGCGTTGCAAGTGCAAGGGCTCAAGTTTGATCCCTGGTACCAAAAGAAAAAAAACTTAGAAATATTACTGGCACCAGGCATGGTGGCACACAGCTGTAATTCTAGCACTGAAGAGGTCGTGGGAAAAGCCAGCCTGGAGTACAAAGACTGCTTTAAAAAAAGAAAAAAAAACAACACTAGCATAAGAAATTAATGAAAAAGAAAAAGAGATGCTTTTCAGGGGCAGGAAGTAACTTCATTTTTCAAGGTAACTTTCTCTAAAACATATACATATTCTTTTTTATAAGATGGGTGTGATGGCACATGCCTGTAATCCCAGCACTTGGGAGGCTGAGGCAGAATTGCTGCAGGTTCGAGGCCAGCCTGGGCTACACAGATAGTGAGATCCTGTCTCGAAAAAAAAGTTAGCCAGTTAACTCTGTGTTTTTTACCCTAAAGGTCCATGTATTAAGAGGCTTGCTGCTCAGTCTGACAGTGCTGAGGTGGTCTACAATTTTTAAGAGGTGGAGCACAATGGGAGGCCTCAAAGTCACATAAGGAGTAAAGCAGTTCTCACAACATTCAGAACTGTGCCCCGGGTTTTGCACTGACCCCTATCATTATGGTGCCAGTGCCTTCCTGGGAAACCAGCTAGCATCACCCTGGAACTTGCAGTACCAGGAGCTAAACAAATCTCTGTTCTTTACAAAGTTACTCAGCCTCCTGTATACTTTGTCATACAGTAATAAAAAGCTAATCAATACTGGGTGTTATACCCTCAGGTCACTAGAGCTACATAATCACTTAATTATGAAAAATGAAGTCATATAAAATGAAGATAAAGAGCTTTGTTATTACCCATATTCACAAGGAAACAAGACATACTAGCAGCTGGTGAGAGTACTTCAGGAAGATTTCATGGGGAGATAGAAAGGGAAGTTAAAAAAAAATTAAGATGTGTTATGTACATGCACCAACTCCCCATGATGAATGGCATCAACATGTACTGAAAACCTGTATTCATAAAATTTTTTTTAAAAATCTACAAATGGCCAATTAAATAAATAAAAAAAAAAGTAATACAGGTTGAGTGTTCTTTATCTGAAATGGGTGGTATCAGCAGGACCTCAAATTTCAGATTTTGCAATATTTGCATATACAATGAGATACCTTGGGGTTAGGAGCCAAGTCTAAACATGAAATCCGTTCATTTCATGTACATCTTGTACACTTTATAGTACACATATACACCGCACAGTATTTTTACTGTGCCTGTTGGGTTTTTTTTTGTTACTGGGGACTGAACTGTGCCTGTGTTTTGACCATGACCCTACCACGTGAGGTGAGACATAGACACAGACTTTCCCACTTGTGCAATTGGGTTGCTTCTCATAAAGTTTTGGAATCTGGAGCATTTCAGATTTTGGATTTTTTTATTAGCCTACTCCATCTATATTACCTTCTCTCTATAGGCCCTGATTTCTATTTCCACTATTAAGAGAACAGTTCACTGTATTCTATGAAAAGAACATATACCTTTTTTGCATATCCAAGAGCAGCAGGCGTGGCAGATTCTGGAACAGTGCTAACCAAATCTGCATCCACAGGTGCTTCGATTGCCAGCTGCTGACCACAGCGGTATCTCACTGTATAAACCATTTGGTCTGGTATGGTTGGAAACAAAAACACTTTTTTACTTAGCATAAGGTAATACTGCTATTCTATAGTGCTAGCACTCTACAGATGGGAGTATGCAAAGTGATACATACAAAAACAATAAAGTAGAAAGACACCAACTGGGAATTCAATAGTGTTGTATTTTAAAACTCCGACCTTCATATATACCTAAAAATCATTAACTCTTACTCCTTAGAGAAAAACAAAGTCTATCCAGGTATGGTGTCACATGTCTGTAATTCCAGAACTCTGGGAAGCTGAGGCAGGAGGCTTGTCAGTTTCAGCCCAGTTTGGGTAACTAAGTGAATTAGCAAGACTCTGTCTCAAAATTAAAAAGGAGAAAGAGCTGGGGATGTAGATCAATCCTGCAAAAATATATTCACAACATACAGAGTCCACCAAAAAATGTATATACACTTCAGCAGTTTGCTATACTAATGTCTAGAAGTTAATGGCCACCACTGTGAGGACCTCTTGTAATTGTAGAGACCAAAGGTAACTTGTATTAATCTCATGATGTCTCAGAATATTCAGCATATTAGTATTTATACAAATTTTTCTTTTTCTGATTTTTTTTTTTTCTGTATAACCATCTACCTTCAAAGAGACAGGCAGTGGGCACGGAGATCTGACTGTAAGATGCAGCATGGCTTGGGTTCAGGTGGCCACATGTCCCCAGCCCAGCTTGGCCAAGGAAACGGGATTCCCCCCCCACTGGGCCCAGGAGGAGAGCAGTTGGAAGATCATCGCAAGTGAGGAGGCTTCTTTGACGAGGAGGTGCCCCCACCTGCAGCCTCAATCTCTGTCAGACACCAGAGAAGTGAAGGGGTCGGAAGTTGGGAGTATTTCAAGGCCAGGGAAAGTAAAAGGGGCAGGGGCCTAGGTGAAAGGTTATCTGCCAGAATTTCTTGGCCTTTTCCTTTATCTTCTCTTACCTAGCCCCACCACCACCACCTCAAATGCCACCTTTTCCAGAAGATGAGACACTGCACCCTTGAAACTTGAAAGCCTTGTTAGTGAAACACAGTGTGATCCCAGAGAAACATCAAGAGAGCCAGTCCTGGACACTCTTGAGCAGGGTCTTAGCGTAGTATTTCGTATTGAGTTCACCTGGAACCCAAAACTTCAGGTGTATGGCAGCATAAACTTGGCAACGGTCTACACAGAGTGGAGACTGTACAGGTGTCTCATCTTCAGAGAGCACTTTAAATGATCTTCACCCAATCATGACCTCCTTAAGGGTGCCTTCTTTCAACTAACATTTATTAGGTGCCCTGAGGTCCGTGGACATACTGCAGTGGCTTACAACTACTCCTGTCTGTCCCTATCCTAGCACAAGGTCAGCTTGGTAACATAAAAGATGCTTAGTGAACATTTGAGTGATGATGAGTATCAGGAACTTTCCATAGGATAAAATACCTTCATTATGATTTCCTCATAATGATATGAAGTTTTTTTTTTAAAGCACTTCTCCACAATACTTAAACATAACCTTTCAGGGGAAAGGAAAGGGAATTAAAATATCTATATAACCCCCCCACACAAAAAAAGAGCCAGGTAAACCTCTGGGCCAAGAACTGCCATATTTAAGTGAAATTAATGGAAGATTTCTATGAATAGCAAAAAAGAAAAAAGAAATTTGCTTACCTTCAAATATACTATCTGGTCTTGCAAAATAAACATACTCAAAGATACAAAAAGCCACTGGGTTTCCATCAGACCTTGATATGGTATCAAGAATTTGGACACCGTGTCTGGATATTTCCACAATTTCCCCAGGTAAGATTTCACGGTAGTATCTTGGGAATTGATGTTAAAGAAAGAAGATTTTTTAATAAACTAGTGCTTACAGCCGATGAGAACATCAATTATAAAGCAGACTTTCCCCTCCCATATAGAGAGAAATGTATTAAAGTCTAGAAATGGCTTAAAAAGCAAAAAAGAAATATTCCTTTTTCTAGTAGTCTCTATAAATCTTTCTGTCACCTGTAAGTCAGTTAGTGAGCCTATGGGATGCTTGTTGTTTTTCTTTTAAAACAAAATATGTTAATGAGTTGCTTTCCCAAATCAAAACCTTAGTATTCGGGTTTAATTGGAGTCAGTGTTGGTACTTTGCAATAAACAAGTGGGTTTAGGTTGCAGTTTGGGCACTTGTCTCTAAAAGGTTCGCCATCCCTGTCCTAAGTTCTAATTTAGAATTTTAGAATTCAGGGTTCTGTATTTTACTGAACTGTGAAAATGCAAAGGGTAATGAGAATATTTTAATATTAGCTAAAGTTCTATCAGAATTACTCCTTGATGAGAAAGTTCTTTTTTAAAATAAGTCAGGTATTTTGAAAGAAAAATGACAGTCTAGAATTGGTAGGTATTACTGGAACAGTAAAGTCAGTACAGCTGCTGAGTACAACATACACAACAAAATGTATCTGCTTGGGACATTATAAAGAAAGCTTTCCTGTAAATACCAATAAGAAAACTTCACTTTTAAATTATAAACTATATCACCCCACTCCTTTTGAGACAGCGTCTTGGTGTGGTGTAGGCTGGTCTTGCATTTCTGAGCTCAAGCAATCTGCCTGCCTCAGCTTCTTGACTAGCTAGTACTAGTGGTATGCACCATCATTCCTAAATAATTTTTTATCACTATGGAAAAAAATAAAATTCTTAATGTTAAAACTTACATTGCACCGATAGATAGAAAACTACAAGATTCTGAAGACACTACCCATCCTTCTGTTTCTGACGTTTTCTTCTCTGAAAATTACAAGATGATCAATTCAATTAATAGATTAAAAAAAAATTTAAAGAGGCTACTTCAACAGATCAGGTAAACACCCAATAGAAGTAAAAAAGATCATGGAATACTTATTTCTATGTCATTAAAAGCACACGAATCCTCATTTTATTTAGGCCAAAGACAAAATAATCTGCTAAGATTCCTTCTAGTACATTATTATAGTTTCTTGCTTGCATAATACATCTCATTAGTAAAAAAAAAACAAAAACTGCAGAAATGAAAAGACTAAGGAAAGGACATGAATCATCAATTCAAACAGGGAAAAAATAACAATATCCATTAAATACATTAAAAGCAAATTATCCTCAGACACAAAGAAATGTACTTTCAAAGCTGAGACTATCATTTCTTTTCGCTATTACCTATGTATTCTCACCTATAAGGTTCCTGTACCTAAAGATTTCAGGATTCACCAGCAGTAGTACAACGACTTTGCAAAGCATTTTGGAATTAAATTCCCTTTAAAGTTCATTACCTTTGTCATTTATATCAGAACCTGGAATAAGACGACCAATGCACAGAGGCCGAATTCCATAAGGATCCCGTACTGCATATATAACATCTCTGTACATTATAAGCAGGGAGTATGCTGTGGGTGCTTCCTTCATTAAGTTTTTAATCCTGGAATTAGATAGTTAATTAATTAATTAATCAATTCAGGTACAAACACATTCAAGGCAAAGGTCTCATTGTGAGATCTGCATGCACAGTCCAATTTTGTTGTTTTGCTTTAGTGGTAGTGGGGGTTGAACCCAGGACTTAGCACAAGCACGGCAAGTACTCTACCACTGAGCTCCATCCCCAGCTAGCACAGTCCAATTTTACAATTACCTTGCTACCCAGTCTGGGGTGTCATCTTGCTCCTGTGGAGGGGTATATGCCAGGAGTTGGGTAATCATTTCACTATCAGAGCTTGTTGACAGACCAATACCATGACGCAGAAGCTAAAGAGAGAAAAGTGCCATCACCAGAGAAGCTCTACTCTCCCCTTCACCCAACAGCCCACTGTCCTAAAAAGAAACCAGGCATTTGGCAAATACCTAACTGGGTAGAAATGAAGTCTATCAAGGGAAAGGTGTTATATCTGGAAAACAAAAGCTAGATACTGTTTAGAATTGAACTCTCAGTGGTAATCTTATACATGACAAATGTTTTGGTAATTTTTTATATCCATATTTTTGTGACTGAACTTTTAAAATGAACTATTTTCTTGTTCATGTACAAAAATGTATATTGTAGTCATTATAATGTCACAGACTATGAAGAGGGTGCAGCAAAGCTCTGTGAAACCCCTAATCCTAACAAGTACTCCAGGTAATTCTTACACAGCTGTTGGCTAAGGTTACATAACAGGTGGCAGCAATTACATAAAATGGCCTTTACCAAGATGTGTACCTTCTTTTCATGAATCCCAAACATGGCAAACAAAACAAAACAAACTTACCTTTTTCCTTAACTGAGGAGCATTCACCAATTCACCATTATGTGCCACAGCTATTTTCCCATGGAGCGTCTCTACGACAAAGGGCTGGCAATTCTCTAATTCACATCTGCCTGTAGTAGCGTACCTTGTGTGTCCAATTCCAAGATTTGAAACATATAATTTCTTCAAATTGTCTTCAGTAAACACGTGATTTACAAGACCCATTCCCTGAGAAGTCAAAGTAAAAAATATCTTAGCAAAACAGAAGTCAGTGCTACTAGTAAAAGTCCATCTTCTAGGGAATCAAAGACAGCAAAGGTCACTTCATTTCTCTGTACCTCAGAATTCTAAACTTAGGAAAAAAGACTAAGCTAACATTAAGAACTTTGAAGCATTTACTTTAAAAATGTACACTGAGAGAGGGTCTTCTTGGCCGCGATCTCCCCACGGTGTTCCTGCCATCTTCAGTGCCAGAGAGTCTTTTCCAGAGGGTCTTCTAGGCTGCGCAGGCTGCGTTCAGACATCTTTAGCGCCAGAGGGTCTTCTCGGCCGCGCCCTCCCCTTCTGGCACCGCTGCCGCCATCTTCAGCGCTAGAAAGGTAGCCGCGTGGGCACCCCTGAACCCTCCCTCCCCCTCACGCTTTTAGACCTCCTGATTGTGCCAGTCTTTGGACCTACTCTGTAGAGGCAGAGGTGGTCATAAAGAGTATTTTCTGGCACTTTCAACTTTGAACATCTTTAAAGAAGTGGTGGGGGAAACTTATAGTAGAACTGAGAGGAGTTCAGCCGTTTAGGAGGTTGGGGAGCTCAGTCTGCTTTGTGGGGTTCTGCCACCAGCTAGCTGAGGTCAGGGGACTCGACTCTGCAAATGGCAGCACATATTGTATATTATAACAGCAGTGATTTAGTCTGAAAGAGGCCCTTTAAACTCATTTTTTCTTTCTTTTTTTCATCCTACTCTGCAAATTCTTTTTTTTTCTTTTTGTTTTCTTTCTCTAACTCAGTCTTACTCCACTATAGTATCCCTCACCTCTCTTTTTGTTTCTGCTCTTGTCCTAATTCAGATTTCTTCTTTTATTATTTTTTTCTCTTTTCTTTATGTTCTTTTCTTATGTTATTCTACCTCACTCAAGAGTTACTATATTTCTATTTTGTTTCTTCTTTTTGAATTTAACAATTTCTTGACGATTGTCTTGTCATTCTACATCTTTTGGCTTCATATGAAACCTTCTCTAATTCTTATACTTACCTACTCCTGTCTTAACTTTGTTTTAAGCCCCCATTGTAAATGGGAAATATCCTTATTGAAAAGTTTATTTACTGTAAGCATATTTTGGATTACTTCTTGATCTTAATTAAATTTACATGGTTTGAAGGTCATAGATTGATGACTACCATAAGTGGTCAATTTGCAAATTGTGCTTCATTAGATTGTGGTGCTGATTCTATCAATTAGGATAAAGGATTGTGATTGATTCAATGAGCTGTTTTCTTCAGTATGATGAAAATGAGAATGTCTATGAGTCATTACAGACCCATGGGCTGAAGCCCAACTGTATCAGGAAGATTTAAGTAATAATCTAAAGGTTAAAAACTAAGGATAACTCAACAACAGTAGTAAAAATGAGAAAACCTTTAAGCAAGATACAGGGACAGACTTCCAGTTCACCAATGGCAAATAGTGGGGCGGATGAGGATGAAAAGTCTGATAGTGAATCATCAGGACACCCTCAACTCAAAGGACAGGAAGTAACAAAACTGATCAATCAGGCTCTAGAGAAATATAAAACAGAAGTAACTTCCAGATAATCAGATAGATGACAAGCAAAATGAAAGTTATAATTCGTGACTCTAGAACAGAAACTGAGAGGAAAATAGATGAGCTCAGGACCATGAAAGAAGCCATGAATGCCCAGCCTAAGAAAGAATTGGAAAGAATAAATGCCCAATACAAGAAAGAAATGGAATCCATAGGACAGATTCAAACAGATATCCAGGAGATTAAAAACTCCACTGAGAGTGTTCACAAAAGAATATAAAAGTCTGAAGATAGAATCTCAGATATAGAAGATAAAATTGTAGTCAGTGACGGTGAAAAGAGAGGTCTCTTAAAAACAGTAGGGGATCATGAGAAATTGATACAACTCTTAGACGATACTAAGAAGAATAACATAAGATTGATAGGAATTCAAGAAGTAATAGGAGAAAATGTAAATGACTTTAAAAAGCTACTCACAGAATTAATTATAGAAAACTTCCCAAATAGAGGGGAAGAATTTGACATACAGATAAGTGAGGCATATAGGACTCCAACTAGCTGTGATAAAAAAAAAATCTACACCTAGACATACAATAATCAAGATCCCAGAAACCCAAAAGAAGAACAAAATACTACAAGCAGTAAGAGACAAGAAACAAATTACATGCATAGGAAAGCCTATCAGAATTACAGGAGACTTTTCAATACAAACCCTTAGGTTAAGGAGAGCCTGGAATGAGATATTTCAAGTACTAAAAGAAAACAACCTCCAACCTAGACTGATGTATCCTGCAAAACTTTCTTTTAAAATGGATGGGGAAATAAGATATTTCCAGGATAAAGAACACCTGAGAAGCTTCATGACTAGCAAACCAGCACTACAACGAATTCTAAACAATATCCTAGAAAAAGACAATGAAGGTAACAACACGAGGCCCAACAGAGCAAATCAAATAGGCAAGCCAAGAAATTAAAAGAAGGCTAAAAAAAAAAACAAAAAACAAAAACAAAACATGACAATAATAACTTAGTACATATCGGTTATAACCATCAATATTAACGGCCTCAATTCACCAGTCAAGAGAAATAGACCAGTAGAATGGATTAAGAAGCAAGATCCAATAATATGTTGTATACAAGACATGTCTAGTGTAAAAAGAAGCCCATAGACTGAAAGTGAAAGGACAGAAAACTTCATGTAACAGGAGCCCCCCCCCCAAAAAAAAGCAGGGCTAGCAATCTCATTCACAGACAAAGTAAGTTTCAAACTTAAACTGATTGGAAGAGACAAAGAAGTTCACTACATCCTTGTGAAGGGAACAATTCAAGAGGAAGAGATAACGAATAATTTATTTTTAATTTACTGAGTATGTCAGAAAGTATATATGCTTTTTTTCCCCTCTTTTCTTCTTTTTCTTTTTCTTTCTCTGATTCTGGGGATTAAACTCAGCACACTGTTCTGGCTAGGCAGGTGCAGCACTATTGAGCTAAATCTGAGGCTTTACATTTCATATTTTTAAAATTTATCAATACATTAATCCTTGTCTCTATATGTTGGTCTACCAAATTGATGAGTTATTTTGGTTCTCATTTTCTTTGCTTTTTTGAGAATTTATGAAATCTGTATATATGAGTAGTATGAAAAGTACTAAGGCCCATCTGTCATTTTCCTCTTTCATCTCTGCTTTCTACAAACTTCCTTTTCTGTCACTACACCTTGTTTGGTTGGAAATTTGTTAAGATAAATGTTGTTATGTTATCAATGTATCTTTGTACTTATTTTCTGATGACAAATATTAATTTTTAAGTAAATTTTATTATAACTATACTTAATCATTAATATCATTTAGTATCTGATACATGTTACAAATTCTCCAACTCCTTCAAAGATATTTGTTTTTCTCAAATTATACAAATCACCAACATTCCACACGTCACTGCACTGTTTTATTATACCTAAGTATATATTGTATTGTATGTTTTTACATATATGTGTGCACTATTAAATGAGAAACATGGTCATGAATGTGGTAGGATTGTGCATATTTGGCATATTGATAGTTTCTCTGGCAACCTTATGATTTCTTTAAATTACATGCTTGACTTCATAGTCATTCATTTGGGAAGAATATTACATATCTATTGGTGTTAAATTCTATCATTATGCTTATAAAAACATAATAAAAATAAGTATGGGATATAATAAAAGAGAAACAGAAAAATCTGATCTTAAAAATGTGAATTTTTTTAGTTGCTTTTGGATTTCAAATATAAGTATATTTTTTTCTGTGGGAAGTTTTGTTAGAAAATGTAAGTGGTACAATCAACAAGTATATGATATTTATCAATTAATTAAACTAAGGAGTTTATAAATCATAAAATTTTATGTAACTTAGTTTTATTTATAATTACATTATTTCAAAAATATAAGAAAATGAGAAAGAACATGTTTGAAGATCATATCAAACTAATGTATTTCGATTAGACTGTATTACATAAATTCTTGTTTATTTCATATAATTTTTTTGCTGTCATATATATGTATATTTGAAATATTTATTTAGTATCTTCATTTCTTGTTATCATGTATCTTTGCAATCTTTAATAAAAAAATGTACACTGAAATGAAATTCACATAAAATTAGCCAATTTTTAAAGTGAATAATTTAGTGGCATTCAGGACATTCATGAAGTTGAAGCATCTGATTTTTTTCGGTTAGTACTGGGGCTCGAACTTAGGACTTTGTGCTTGCTAGGTAGGCACCGTGCCACTGAGCTCTATCTCTGTCTGAGAAGCATCTCATTTTTGATACCTCATTAACACATTTTGTTTTGTGAGACATTTTGTAAACAGATATACTAAGACAACAAAATTTGTTAAATATAAATGAAAGCTGACATTTTACAAAAATCAAAGCATCTAGAAGTATTTAAATAAATGGCTTCACACACATGTTTAAATACCGAATAGTTTCTCTGGTGTGAATAAACTGTAATAGTACATAAAATCCTAATGAGATTGTGAAATGGGAAGCAAGGGGCTAAAGGTGTGGGAAAGGTGGGATGGGTAGGGAAGGGTAATAAGGGAAAAGAAAAAAAATGTGACAAAATGAAAAGATGGAAATAAAATGTTTGTAAATGGGGAGGGGAGGAGGAGGTGAAGGGAGGTCAGGGACAAGGGGAAAAAATGAGAACCAAGATCTGTCATGTAGAGGTACAAGAACCCAACAATGAATGTAACTGTACTATATCCCTAAAATGTACCAATAAATTCAATTATTTAAATGAATGAATGAATGAATGAATGGCTTCAGCCAGGGATTTAGCTCAGTGGCACCAGGCCTGCCTCACAAGCACAAAGTTCTGAGTTTGATCCTCAGTACCAAAAATAAATAAAGAGCTTCCGGCTCAAGTTAGACAGCAAACTAACACTGTGGAAGAAACAGTTCCTAATTTGACAAATGTTAGAATATAAAGTTGGAAATGGATGATCCAAAGAGAATTACTCCTAATTGCAATGTTTTTCCTCAGGTGACATTTATAATCACCTGGCTGGTAACTGTTATTTTTATCACCAACACTGTTTAACATTCAAACTTACCTTATGCATTTTGAATGCTGGCACCAAGCTCCCATCACTGGTCACAATACCAGCACTCTCTTGACCCCTGGGAATATACAAGGACATTAACTGTTACATCTTCCCAAATGATAAGCTTTTTGAATTTTATCAAACATAACTTTTTTTTCTTTTGGTGCCAGAAACTGAAGGACCTTGTGCTTGCATGACAGCCAGCAGATCCACTGAGTTTTAAATTCTGGGTCCAAACACACCTTTCTTAACAAGCATCACAAACTACCTGATAACACATTAAATGCTACTTAGAAGACTAGCACTGCTTCTATCGATGATGCTGATGATTAGCAAAAGTAGCAAATTATTTTAACAAGATGATATCGTCATCCAGTTTAAGCATTTTCACATGAATGATCTAATTTGGCTTTTAGAACAGTCCTATGAAGTAGGTACCATATTCCCCTGTCACAGAGCAGCACACTGAACTAGAAACTTGCCCAGTGGCAGAGTGAGCAGGTGATACAGCACAATTACAAAACGGACAATTCCATTCCAGGACATGGGATTCTAACCTCTGTACCAGTTAGGTCAAATGAAGTTTCAAAGGGCTGACGACACAGATGAACAAGATAAGAGTAGCACCACAGTCTATGAAAGAACAAGAATATTAGGTGACAGATGTGGCCTCTCAGTCCCTCTGAGAACACTATCCCCTTGGAAATGGACTCTTGCTTCGTTTCTCAAGGATGGATTTTTTTCAAAAACTGTAGATACAAAATGTTAAGTCTGCTTCTGAAAATCTGCTGACTAGACATCCTTTCCCAAGTTTGCATCTCATTTCCTGCATTAATAATTTTAGGTAACATGATTTAAAAAAAAAAAAAAAAAAAAAAAGCCTAAAGCCAGGTGCTGTGGTAATCCCAGCATTCAGTATGCTGAGGTAGCAAGACCTCTGCAAGTTTGAGGCCTGCCTGTGCTACGCAGTGAATTAAAGGCCAGCTTAAACTACATAAGACCTTCTCTCAAAAAACCAAAACACACACACACACACACACACACACACACACACACACACCTAAGGCTAGACTAGAGGTAGGGTAATACATAGTAAGACTCAAAGAATCTATACCAGTGTGGAGGATAGGATCAAATTAAATAAAGGTTCCAACTATTCAATAACTTTTATCAGTTCTGAACAAGTGCTAGGAATACTAGATCACTGACAAATTTTTGTTTCAAAGACTGCACATCAAACTTTTCACAATTGCTAACATGTTGATTTATTTAAAAAGGAATTTTTCCAAAGCTATATATTGTAATTAAGGCATTTTATTATTGATAAAAACGACAAAACATTTTATTTATTCTTGCAGTACCAGGAATCAAAATGAAAATATTTTAAAAGTAAAAATCTAAAAAAATAAAATTTTACTGAATTATCAATGGATTAAATACTAAATTGGATATAAATATGTAAAACACAAGCCCTATGAAATTAAATCATGACCTAGCATTTATTTAACAAAATACAGAGGACCTTCAAATTATGCCTGGCCTGATATACAACTTGGGTTAATTAGTTAATGGAAGGTTTATCTGACTCTTGTTATCTATAGCGTGTACCCAGGTAAACATCCAGATCTCAGCAATCTTGACTTACAACCAGCCCTCTGGAACTGATCAAGTTTGTAAGTCAAGGGTGCACCGTAATGTGGTCTTTAAATTAGCTTATAGAAGACCAGGTGTACATGTCACAGAAAAAAATATAAACCTCATAAAAAACCTGTTCTTCAGTATACAGCTATCAACATTTGCTGTAAGCCTCAAACATTTTTTTGTTTTTAGAAATCAACAATCATTTGGTAACAAAAATGGTTTTTCTTTTGCTTTTTGTCTCAAGGGTAAATTTTCCTTGAAGCCGAATGAATCAGGTTAGCAATCATTTAGCTGCCGGCTTCTCTATTTACAAAGCCTGCTTATTTGGCAGTTCCTCAAGCTTCTCCCGCAGGCAACCTTAACCAGTTATGTCAAGTCTTTTCCAGCTTTTAGTAGCTTATTGACAACCAGCCTTCTGGTTTCCTAGGAAACAAAAACGTAGGCTAGAAATAGTGAATCATTTCCAGGTCACTTTCAACATGGAGAATGGAACAGGGAAGCACTGGACTGAGAAGGAGGTTAAAGCTCTGCTGAGTGTCTGGGCAGAAAAAAATACACGACAACAACTTTATGGAACACTGAGAAATAAAGGAATATTTATTTACATTGCTAAAAGGCTTCAGTCACTAGGAGTATGCAGAGACTGGAAACAGTGCCAGGCAAAGTATAAAAATCTCAAGTATAAATACAGAACAGTTTAAATGTGCCCACAATTCCAGAGACAGCTCTAGGACTATGAAGTTCTTCCATGAACTGGATGCCGTCCTGCAGTGCAAATCTGCCACACAATTAACAGAGGATGCAAACAGCTCAGGTACAGTCCCAGAGACCACTGAAGGTAAAAAGAAAAGTACTGTTCTTCTGTTCTTTTTTGTTTTACAGTTTATCAAATGGAAGACGGCAAGACTTGTGTCTGTGTGATAAATACAGCCTGAAATATCGAGGTTAAAAAAGAATCCCAACTCATACTGTTTTATACGTGGTAAGATTAAAAAGAGGTTGGAAACTATCACTTTACATCTGTGAAATACAGAAAAAGCATATTAAAATGGCATTAACTGCTAGGGCCAACTGTATGTCTAATACAGTTTTGAAATATGGGTTGGGTTCTAAAAATCCTAGGTTTTCATTTTAAGGGCCAAAAAAGAGAAAATATCAAAATACTGTTCAATTTTTTTTCTTCTGTTTGATACCAGGGATTGAACTCAGGTCCTTGCACTTGCGAGAGGGAGGCGGTAGAACCACTGAGCTAAATCTCCAGCCCAATCCCCACCCCCACCCCCCTCAAAGCTCCAAACAAGACACAACTTTCTGCTCCATTTTAACTTACCATTTTCCTAAATTTACAAATGAAAGTACTAAAATACACAAAGAATTGATAACATTTCATTATTTGTTTGGAAGAAAAGCTCCACTGTAACAAGTAAAATAAAAATAGGTTTAATAAGTAAATGGCTGAAGATTTAATAATTTAGATATTAAACAAAGTTTCTGAACTGCTGCATTGTTAAGCCCAACACTACACACAAAGAATCTGCTCACTGTCTATGCAAGCACTACGCAAAGGCGTGAACCAATGGTGGTGAAGAGATTTCCCCACAGCTGAAGTCTCACAGCTGCTATTTTTAGGAGCAGAGTTGTTCCAGTATCTGTAATACCCACTGTCCGTACGAAGCACAGAGATACACATATCAGAGATGTGAAACCTGGAAAGGAGAGAACTGTGGATAAACCTAACACACAAGAGAAAATGGTTAATATAATAAAGGTTCCAATTGTGAAAGGGGTGAAGGTGACAAACATTACATACAGTGGTTAACATGGATTAGCTGAACTTCCACGTTTACAGCTCAAACATAAATCATTTTAATGAAAAAGTCCAGCCCATTTACAAACACCCTTTCTCTCTTTGACACACATCAGAGGCTAAGATGGTTCTGCAGCCACAGATAGGTTAAAGAGCAGCTCCAGTATTTTTGCAGGTTTATCACTTAGATGCTTTAAACACTGACTAATAAAAGTTACTTAGCTCCTGAAAGTTCCTGATTTTAACCTGAGGTTTGTCCAATGAAGCTTCTGATCCTTTCGGATAACCCCACTGGCTCCAAACTCCTTGGTTTCACTCAGAGAGGGCCCATAAGTATTTTCAACTTAGCCATCTGTAATTAAGGACCTTCACCAAAACATCTTCCTACGAATGGCTCCCACCTTAGTAATCCTGTATTTCCAATTGTGCATGTAGAAATGTTTGCGCTAGCTTTAATTTTTGGTCAGTCACTTAAATGTTTAAAATATCT